TTTCGTTTTTCCAGCTCGTATGTTTTGCGTTCAGGTCGCCTGCTATTATTATTTGTTTCGTTTTTCCAGCTCGTATGTTTTGCGTTCAGGTCGCCTACTATTATATAATAGTTTTCTGTTTTATTGAGCTGTAAGAGTTCGAAGAGTTTATTGAATTCGTCGCTAAATTCTTTCTGGTTTCCGAGGGTTGCGTAGGCTGCAGTAATAAACAAGTTCTCCTTATTGCTTATTTTTATTTTTATGATCGTTGTTTCTAGGATTTTGAAACTTGTTATTTTATCATTTAGAATTGTTTTGTGTTTTATGGGGTTTTTTATGAGGATTGCTGTTCCTCCTCCTTGGCTGGCGTTCGGTCTGTCGTGTCTTATCATGGAGTAGTTTTTGAAGTGTACTCTGTGTTTTTTATTTAGTTTTGTTTCTGAGACGAGTACGATATCGGGGGTTTCTTTATTTATTAGGGTTAGCATACTGTATCTTTTTTGTTTTGAGATTAGAGAGTTGGCATTTATTACTATTATTTTCAGGTGTTTTAAGTCTAATTTATGTGTTTTTTACTGTAATTGTTGGTTTAGTGGATTTTGGCTATTCATCTTCTGCACTGTTAAAATTTCTGACGATGGCGTTGATCCTTTCTTCATGCGTTGATAGTGTTTTTTTTATTTCATTTAATTGCGTTGTATAGTAGTATGCACGCTTGTAGTATGCTTTTTTTTTAATTCTTCGATAACGTTTATAATGCTTTGTTGGGGGGTGTTATCGGTTGTAGTTGCGCTTTGGCTTGATCGCGGATTTAAGTTTGTTATTTGTGTTGTGTTTTCGATTATTTGGTTTAGTTTTGTTTGTTGTTTCACTACGTCAGAGAACTTTAGTTCTGGGACGTATTTACGGCTTATTTGGGCAATTCGTTTTATCTTTGTTTCTTTGTCTTTTTTCTTTTTTTCAGCTAGCTTTTTGCGCAGCTCCACGAGTTTAGGGCACCCCTTGTAAGACGCGGGGTGTCCGTAGTTTTTCCAGTTAACGCAGAATATTTTCTCCTTGGTTACTGCTTCTTCTTTTTTTATTTTGCACTCGCCTGGATCGTGGGGCTCAGTGCATTTTACACAGCAGTAGTTTAGGTTACAGTTTTGTGCTGTGTGTCCTAGTCGCTGGCATTTGTGGCATTGAGTTATATCATTATTTTTTTTTAATTATTTTTTCCCATTTTATTTTGTAATAGTTAAAATGGTTTATTCTTAGCAGTTTGCTTATGTTGCTGTCGGGGGATACTTGTATTATGTAAATTGGGAGCAATATATTGTTGTCCCTTGATCTTTTTGTCGTGAATCGTGTGACTTTCGTGAACTTTACGTCGTCTATTTGCAAGGCTTGTAGGTCTGTGAGTATTTCCATTTGTAACTATTGTCTAAGCCTTTTAGCAAGTATGTGTGGTGTTTCTCTGTTTTGGGTGTATAGGTATAGAAAGTTGTGTTGGCTGCAAGGAGTGTTTCTTTGGCTGTGTGGAAATCGGAAAGGTTTCGGAGGTAGAGATCATATCCTTTTGATATAGAATTGATTAATGTTGGATACTTTCTCTATGAGCGTTACTGTGTCCTTTGGGTCTCGTAACGTTATGTTGATAGGCGGCGGTTTGTATTCCCTTATAGTGGATGGAGCCTTCATACGTTCGTCTGCGGTGTATCTGGTGGGGTGTTCGTCGGGTGCCCGGCCCCTCCGTGGTGATGCTGGTGGCACTGGGCCTCCTGAGTTGTACGATGAGGCCTGTCGCCCCTGCGGTGTTGATTGCTTTGGCGGTGTGATGGGACTGTGTTTTCCCATTTTGCCACGTAATATTTGATTTTTTTGTTTTATTTGCTCTAGCGTTGAGTTTGATGTTGGGTAGTTTGCTGGTCCCGGCTGTGATTGTGGATGTGGTTCCTCAAATATTCCTATACCTCTTTATCTTTGTTCATTATCCCTGTGACGTTCCAGAAGCACATTTTCATCCCCTTTATATACCTCCCCCCTTCTTTCTCCTTATCAAAGCCTCTCACCTCACACCTTCCTTCTTCTTCTAATTTTTCCTCGCTTTCATTCCACCTATACCATCTGCCTTCTATTTTCAGCTTCTTATAACCTATTTTTACATATTCCCCCTTCTCCCTTCTCCCTCTAGCAATTCTTCTTAACCTTTGTTGTATTTCTCTTCAATTCTTCTTAACCTTGCAATTCTTCTTAACCTTTGTTGTATTTCTCTTTCTTTCTTCGTTAGGTCATCATCTATGTATATCCCCTTCCCCAATTTACCTTTCTCTCTCATTACCTTCATCTTCTCCTCCCACGATTTCAATGTCGCAATTATTATTGTATTCTTTTCTCCCACCCTTATTTTCTGTGTCCCTTCTAATTCTACTTCTATTCTCTTATTTTCTTTTATAAATTTTGTCACTGCCCCTTTGTCACATTCCTCCCCCATACCGCGCCTTTTATTACAGTATTCCTCCTCCTTCTCTCCCTTTCTATCCTATCCTGCTCCTCCACAAACCTCCTGATTCTGTTCTCTAACTCCATCCTCTCTTTTCCATATTTCAAACGCACTATCCCATCATTCCCTTTCTGTCTCTCTCTCCTTCTTTCATCTTTCTCTCTCCTCATCTCACTCCTTTTCCCATCTTTTCATCTCTTCATCCCTCTCCTTCTTCCGCCTTTCCCTCTCTTCTTCTCGTCCCCTTTCCCATCCCTCCCTCTCCTCCTTCCTATCCCGCCGCAACTCCTCCACTAGTTCTGCCGCCACCTCCAACCCCCTCTCTATTTTATCCATCGCCACCCATGCTTCTCTACCTCTCTCACTCCTTGCTGCTTCTTTCTCTGTCACGCTAAACCTCCCAGCGTGTTTCTGTGGTTCGCCACCCCTCCCGCCTTGATCGTGATCCTCGGCCACCCACTTGTCGCCATCAATCTTCATCCTATCTAACTACCTCTTATACTTTCGTACACCTACCCTCTTCTTTCCTAATTTTGTGCCCCACACTTTCTCCTATCTTCTTCATCACTAATTTACCCT